CGCGCCGGAGCCTCGCGCACTCACACACACACACAACACACACACACACCACATATTCGCAAATCAAACTTGACATCGCAGTCTGTTCATTATCAAAATAAAATACAGTCAACCAAAAATATAAAAGGTTACACTGGTCAATTTAAATAGTCCGTGGTATAACTGGTCCAATTTGTATGCCAAGCACATTTTTGCTCATGTGAAGAGGATATTTCTGTCGATATACGAACACGCGTGAAGTACAAAGCCTCTACATTATAAATAATAGTTTAATTCAAATACATTGTGAATATGGAAACATTAGGATTTGTGCCGAATGAGAGGTACGTGAGCCCAGTTAACTCCTGGTACTTTCAGTTTCGCTTTGTTTTGGTTTCTTTAGGTTTATATATTTTTATTTCATTCTTGTTCTGTTCTGAATAGCGTTACATTTATATTATTTGTTTTGGAGTGAGCTATACTAACGTATAGCTATGTTAAGTGTTTAAAATGTTTATACATTATAATAGTTCACTTTATTTGGTATTATTTCTGGCATTTCTGGTATTATTACACTCTCTCCAAACATTCTGCTGCTCACAAAACAATAAGCAGTAAGCACCAATCAATGACAGCGAGTTTGAACTTAAGAAAGCTGACTGGTCACGGTCAAAAATATTTTGAGAACCAATACATAACCTCCAAATACATAAACCTGCGCTCGCTCTCATATGCACGCAGGCACTGTCACGACCTAATGCCGGATCCTTAAAAACAATTACCGGAACGCAAAAATCCAAAATCGGACATTTTCCAGAACAGGATCTGGCTCAAATTAAGCACTGGCTACAGGAGACCTGCATGTCTTAGAGAGTTATGTAATTGTGTTAAATGACAGTGCTGAGAGTGGACTTGCACAAACAAGTTCATGTGTTCCCCAAGTACGTCAACGATTTACACAGAAAGTAGCAACAGAAACAGCACTATATTTCTGAAACACATGCAGCAACACGTTGTTTTCATGAAATGAGTAAAATTTTTGAGTCAAATGTAAAATTAACAAAAATTCATAAAGTTAAGATCTCTTTATTAGGGGTGCAAAAAATCTATCAAATTAATTATATTGACAATAGTAAATTAATCAAATGAACTGCAATTAATCACATATACACTACCATTCAAAAGTTTAGGGTCAGTAAGATTTTTTTTTAAAGAAATAAAATTGATCAAAAGTGACAGTGAAGACTTTTACATTGTTATAAAAATATTATATTTTGACTCTATTTAAAATAAATTTCTATAAATAAATAAGTTGTATAGCAAAAAAAAAAATCACTCTGAAAAGAATTCTGAAAGAATTTGTTTTTCAACATGAAACAATGATTTCTGAAGGATCCTGTGACACTCAAGACTTGTATAATGGCTGCTGAAAATTCAGCTTTGCCATCACAGGAAGAAATTACATTTTAAAACATTAAAATATAAAATAGTTATTTTAAATTGTAATAATTTTTCCACAATATGACTGTTTTACTGTATTTTTGTTCAAATGAATACAGCCTCTGTGAGCCTAAATTTTGAACAATAGTATATTAACATTTTGCTGAAGAAATAAAAACTTTGATGTGTGTTAGATGAGTAAACCATTAGTCAAAAAGCAGCTTTAGAAATCAATATATTGTCCATAGCAATCCATTTCGCAATCAAGTTTGTCAATGTGTCTTAGCAGTTGTTCACACAGGATGCGTTCTTTTGTTCGGAGCCTTTATACATATGCAAAATGTCTTTGGCCATTACGTTGTGTCCTACTGTTTTTAGGTTCTTTCACCATAAAAGCCATGTTTTTCACAATAATTAATTGTACTATATTAAGTTAAATAGCGAGCCCTAGTCTTTATTCAATTCACATTGTTCTGATTCGACAATGTACAATGCGTAAACAGCATTATTGTTTGCTTGATTAATCTCAATTTTGCTGTACAAATGTATCTCTTTAAAAGCTCTTTCTTACTTCTAGCAAACACCGTCAAATACACTCCCCTCTTCACTCTCTTTATTTTAAAAGCAGATAATTGAACAGGACAAGATAGACAAGAATCAACTGGCAGCTATCAACAGGTTGTTCCCGTCTGAAGTTATCTCACTCACTGTGTTCGGAGGGTGAAAGCCGCACTGGTGATGGAGGTAGGGAGGTTCAGACCTTTGGTAATCTCGCGCCATATTTTCTTATTGATGACTTCCACTAAGCCGCCTTTTTCAGTGACAAGCTTGTAGAGAGAGTAGAGATCCAACACCTGCTTGGCCATGATAGGAATCCGATTCACTGGAGTCCCTGCAGGAGCCGGGGGAAAAAACACAATATCCACAATCAATGCCATTAACTCAAGCTCATTGACGGGCCTCGCGGCCGCTTATAAGACCAATCAGTCAAGCATAAGTAAAACGTCCGACAGCTTCCCACTCCACTTAGCAAAAATATCACTTTTTCCTTCAGTCAAAGGTCTGCACTGTCTGTTTTGCCTCTAGTGAAAAGAAAGACCTGTGGCTTCTTATTTGGAGAACGATTGGATTTATGTAAGAGTGAAATCTCAATCAGTAAAAATAATTTCACACTGTATGTACTCAAAGTGAAAATCATTTATCATGATCTAATATGCACCTTAAATCCCAAACAGTAGTTGGAAATAATCATTTTGACTATAAAGAGCAAATGGCCTTTTTAAAAGAGAACAAAAAAGTCGCCAAACATCTAAAGTCTTGGATGTCGATGCTTAAACACTGCTCTCCTTCCCACTGCCAGTTCATTTGTTGAATGAAAAAAAACCTTGGTGATAATTTGTGCTCACGATTTAATGTTAGGTTGTAATGTGCGAAGAGGATAAGCCCTTTGTGTGCATCTGAGACCGCCTGACCTCAAGATAATTAACCTGTATTTTGCTGATAGAGTTCTATTGTGCCCATTGGATTTGCCATAATAGCAATCAATACGTAGAGAAATATAGAGCAAACAACAGCAAGCAGAGCCACAGTCTGAAAAGAGCAAGGAGAGCAGAGCTATGGTCTATCAAGGTAAAAACACATCAATTAAGACTTGTAATTACGGCTTCATTTTGCCTCTCTGGCATGTAAACTAAGAGACACTATTAAAACCAAAGATTTATCTGCCTTCCCTCCGAGACAATGCTGGCATTAGATCTAAAGTAGCACAAACATCTAAAACAATCGATTGATGTTTCTAACTTCTCCTCAAATTGACCACACAATCACTGAAGTAAAAGTAACTATCAAGGGTCTTGATTGGAAAAACCTGAAATGGTTTAAAGTAGTAGTTCTCAACTGGATTTGATTCAAATCATACTTTACACTGGAAATCAAGTAATAACGCAACACTGTACAAATCGTTTTTCTGTACAAAAAACAAACAAACAAACAAAAAAGCTGTCTTAAAGTCGGCATGAAACGGAAGTAACGATTGTCTTTTCTTCTCTACTGTGACGTCTATCCGAGTGAAACGGCATCTGAAATGAGAGAGCGGGACTTGATTTCGTCCTTCGGGAACAAAACATGCCTAACAGCGCGCGCGCGAGAGAGAGACTGCCTGAATGACTGAGCGCGTCCTCCATCAGGTTAAGTCATATTCATAAAAAAATAGTTTGCGATGTCCTAAGAGTAATGTTGTCGTAATATCCTAATATCCTTTACATTTTTAAGGTTAGTGTACTCCCCCATGGCTTGCGTCAGCACTGGTCAATGCATTGATTTCTATAAAGTGAAGCATCAGCTTCAGCTTTTCCCCCTGTTGTTTATCCCAGAGTTTACCCCTCACGTCACTAGCTCCGCCCTTGCACCATAGCTCGTGACCGGATGAGAAGATGAGTCGTTTTGAGGGGGAGGTTGACGTTTTTGATTAAAGATTACAAGGGTACATGAATAAAAAAAAAAATTAAGTGCACGGATAAATTATTTATAATAAACACAACAGTATTCCATTAAAGGGGTCATATGATGCGATTTAAATTTTTCCTTTCTCTCTGGAGTGTTACAAGCTCTTGGTGCATAAAGAAGATCTGTAAAGTTGCAAAGACTAACGTCTCAAATCCAAAGAGATATTCTTTATAGAAGTTAAGAGTCAGCCACGCCTACCTAAAACGGCTCGTTCTAACATGCCCCAACATACCTAAGTCGCTCTGTGGGAAGATTTGCATAACGCCGCCCAAACGTTCACGCAAAGAAAGAAGGCGTAACCGCCTCTTCTCACTCAGCCCGCCGCCTCTTCTCACTCAGCCCGCCGCCTCTGCTCAC